AGAAAGAATTAAATTTAAATGAACAAAATAAGAGAAAGGAGTTCCACTTATACGAGGGTGTATTATCTTGGTTTCATGTTTGGTTTTTATCCTGTTCGCAAGCCCTGGATCAGCAGTTCATAAGGCTCACATTTTTGTTTTTTAATAATAAGTGAGTTTGATTAAAGGGGAAGCTAGATGATTCCAACAGAACAATGTCGCCTGTTGGCTTTCATGCTGTCCCACCCTCCTTTCCACTCTTCCTTGAACTATTTCGCTAATTTGAAGCCAATTTCTTATCACGTCCTTCCTGTGTTGTGTGCTGTACAGTTTGTTAAATTGTTTGTTTGGTGCGTTTTTAATTACTGAGACAGTATTCCGTAAGTACTCGGTGTTCCATGTTGCCTTCTTATGTAATTATACTCGCTTCTCCTCCTTGTCACTATCATTATTATAAAGTCACTGTATAATCTATTCAATTCAAAGGGCTGTAAAAGTCCTCGAACCATTTTGCGTTAGTTTGTGATAGAAACTCGCGTATCCCTCCGAAAAATACCATTTTGAACCGTAATCACAGTAATTTAGAAGATACAAATGTTTAAAGGACGCATAACTCTTCCCACTCTCTCGCTTTTCGTCAAAGCTTGCGTATCATCTGTCCTTCCGACGTTTCGGGGAACCGGTAGCCATTGCAACTTCTTGTCCTCTCTCGTATGTCTGGACCTCTAGTTAACTTGAGGTGGGCAGTTTGTTAGAAAATGACCGAGCTACGCAGAGATCTGTCAAGGCTTGCTGTGTATCCTGTGCCAGTTCGAATAGTCAGGTTTTAATTGTTACTGCAATGCGTCACGCTAATCATTAGTTCGCAAGGTGTGGAATCTGAACCAGACATTCTTTGGGTGCATGCCACCAAAAACAAATGGTGAGATTAGTGGCTTTATGAACAACTGGAATCAGGTATCTATGCACACTTGATTTGATAACCATTGAAATATCATATTCTGTTTTCTACAATTCAGTTCCGCATCCTTAGTTCTAACAAACATTGATAATGTCCCTTCCTGTAGTCTGCATTCTTCAACTCATTCACTGATACTTTTAAAGCGAATAACCTCTGTGCCAATCTAAGTCGACCCAGTGTGTTTCTGTTTCTTATCATGGTCGCCCACGCAGGCCTGTCAAAGAGTACTGCAGCACATACTAATTCAGTCTGATGTGGATTCCAATTCAGGTTACCGTACATGGCGCGCAAACTTATTCTGTGGGCTATCGGATTATAATCTACGGTTCCAGTTAACCAGGACTACAGAGCGGTTTATCCCACCTTTCATAGTGGGAATAAAATGCGGCACAAATTGATATTAGTTTCCTTGAAATGAAGCGTGTGTGTGTGTGTGTGTGTGTGTGTGTGTGTGTAAACAGAAAGTCACTTCGCTTTTTCGCCCAAAACTACACACACACATACACACACACACCAAACACACGAGAGGATATGCCCGATTTCCTCTAAATACTTCGTTATTAATTAAACTGTTCCCTCGTTCGAGGTCGACTGTTTCATTATAGGCGTATTTGTCCGGATGACCGATTTATTTAGTGAAATACCTTACCATTCCGAAGCTTCATTTATACGTGTTGCTATCACCGTTATACAACCATGTACCGCACACGATGCTCTAGTTCCACGGCCCTGACAGGTTGCATTCAGCTGCCTCGAATAATGATTTTGATGCTGCCGGACACGACCGCGACAGCTGTGCAACCTCACTTTTCAGATGTCCTTTTACCTGTGTCCAAAAAATTCCTTCCTAACCCCGAAGGTACTGTAAGCTGATTAATTAGTTAGTTCTGGGTTTCTGTTTTGTCATTCGGAGGTGCCCTGAATGAGAAAGCAAACAGTTTTATTTTTACGTAAACATCACACCGTACATCGTGTTCGAGGGACGTAATTCGCGGTCAGCTTAGCGTCCACTAGTTCATGGAACTCTTCTTTTAACCGGCCTCGACCTTAACGAATGGCTGGCAGTTCCATTATGAGTTAAAAACACCATACTCGTGTTTCAAGCGTCGTTCTTTGACTGTACGCATGTTATACACTTATGACTGTTAAGGATATGCCCAAAGTGTCTTCTCTGACATTTCTTTATTACGGGACATCGATGTTTCACTTTCCTGCTGATAACCGCCCCTCCTCCCGAAAACATACAGACGTCGGTTCGTCTTTTGTAATTCGACTGTCATATATATATATATATATATATATATATATATATATAGCTTTATACAATTAGTTTGATTTTATAACAGCATGCACAACTTAAAATACCTTTAACATTCCGATCAGGTGCAAGTTGAAGCAACCCATCTGAGCCCGACCGAATGCGCACCATGTAGTGGTGGTGATGGTCGAATGGCTTATTTTAGTCTCACTCGCGTGCTCCGGATTCTCATGTCCAAGATTTTAACTCTGCCATTGCTGCTAAACTTTGGTGATAGGCAGTTTCCTCATCATGCGGCTCAATACTACGCAGGGGCCTTTTGTGGTTTATCCATCCATGTCGCAAGGCTACCGGTTC